TATTGTATGAATGGTGTTATATGTAGTGATGATGGATGGTGTTATATGTAGTGATGATGGATGGTGTTATATGTAGTGATGATGGATGGTGTTGTATGTAGTGATGATGAATGATGTTATATGTAGTGATGATGGATGGTGTTATATGTAGTGATGATTAGACAATCTATCTATATAAAACAAAGAAGTCTGTCTGTTTGTCTGTGTGTCCGCACGAGAATCTCGGAAACTACTTTACCGATCTGTAGTGATGATGAATGGTGTTATATGTAGTGATGATGGATGGTGTTATATGTAGTGATGATTAGACAATTAAATAATAACAGTTTAATGCTAAAAAATGTACTTTCCTTGCTCCTTTTGTAGTGAAAAACATGGTGGAGCTTACATACACCGTTAATGAACCATTATGGAAGAAGAAGTTTTGGGGACTGAACAGTGAGACACAATGTGGAGCTTCCTGAGGGGGTGACGTCCACGTGGCCTAGCGGGATGAGCAGCCCGGAAGGCGGCGATTCTGCTAATATATATATACATATATATATATATAGCAGTTATATATATATATATATATATATATATATATATATATATATATATATATATATATATATATATATATATATATATATATATATATATATATATATATATATATATATACACATTTTCACTGCTTTGAAACCAGAGGTGCAATTTGGTAGAGAGGAGCATGTGGCAGAGGAGTAGGTAGTGCACTATGTTCTGGCCCTCCACGAGGGAGAGAGAATGAGATAGATTATGTCAAATTTCTCTACCTCTCACTCATCGCAGGTACAAGAGGACTATTCTTGGGGCCGATCATGGACAACATCATGGGTAAGAAACCTTCCCGCGACATGTAGAAGTCACAGGATCCTGTTGAGGCGGAATTCAGTGTTATGTGGCAGTTTATGAGAGAAAATATTTATCTATCTTCCGTATGTTATTTTATCAGTGGTAGCCAGCTAGTGAAACCTGAACCTTAAAGACAACACGATAAAAAATAAATCAATACACTTATGTTTTTTGTTTTTTTTATGATCCGTAAAGTTATATATGGGCCAATGACAAACATGCAGACTCCAGAGGAAGTATTCATGCACGTGAAGACATAATGTAATAAGGAGTTGAACTCTGTTTATTACGCTGTTTTAAAAAATAAGAAAGTTTTACCAAAAGATCATATGAGCTGCAACGGATAAAAATTTAAATGAGAACTATGGTAGACCTAGTACTTATGAGTGATTGTTTAACATCTTCACTAGTCACTGATGTAGGTGTGTCGCAGCTACAACTTATTGAACTTTCTGAAGATGGCAGTAAGAATTTTTTTTTTTTTGATGGACACTCTTAAGGTCTAGATCACAAGAGCGAAGGTGGATTACCGCAGGATCGATGTGTGGCTTTACATAGCTTTGCGAGTCTTTTTTTGTCTGCCTTTAAACGTGAGAAATCCTAGTAAAATTTACCTCGTTTGTCCACAATTGAACACAGGCCAAATTTCAAGAAAGTTAACGAAAGTAAGTATTGCAAGAAATCCTCCTGTCCTACCCGTGTGTCATACAATTTAACCTTTTGAGGGACAGGAATTTCTCTCAGCTGTCGTTAGTCAGAATAATACATCTTAGTGCGACAGTAACCATAGAAAGGGTTAAGATATATTTTGACTATTATCATTATTGTCATTATTCATTATATCGGTTTCTTTGTTCATTTCAAGACGCCTAAATTCTAAAGATATATTTCATATTAACAAAGTATATATCATCACACTTTTTATACACCTGTAACTCTATCTTAAAGTACTTGGGTGGTTTCCTTCTGACCATTTAGCCACCCCTGACATGTAAAAATATGAAATGTCTTAAATCGACGATAATGGAATTAATCAATACTCCTGCAGGTATAGAACAATTTTTTTTAAGAATAATGTCAAAACATTTTTACAGTCCCCCAAAAACGTATCGTTAGATTTTCTATCGCCAGAATTTGAAACACTAGACGAGGTGCTTTGATATGATCCTCAGTACATACTCTTAAGTTGGCAGTAGGATTGGGGGAGGGAGTCGTACTTGTATGTAGCGTTCGAAAATATTCATACTCATTCATGCTCAAAGGTCTGAAAGCCTCTAATTACATCGACCCCATGGCTAACGATACCTTTTTAGGGGGGACTGTACTGTATATCTAATATAGGCAATATAAAAGAAATTCCTCATTGATTCCAGACTTATCCGTAGTCTGTATAAACTTATGACCTGAATGACTGAAGTCTTGGCTCATAAACATGTTACTGATTTCCTCCACCTCGATGAGGACGTGGTCTCCTCGCCTCACCAGGGAGTTGACGCTGCGTGGGAACTCTTTGATCGTGTGGAACTTGATCCGTCCAGATGTTTCCGTCTTGGCCACCTCTTGGAATATGCCTGACTGTGCAGACTTGAAAACCACATCATTTATACTCGTGAAACTTTATGGTATAATAAATAACACATTGTTTATTAGACTTCATTTATAATAAGGAAATTTTAAATATATATAATAATAGACCGTTTCATCTCAACATATTAAAAATGTAGTTTGATGAGGTATAAAAATAGTAACGGTTAAATATAAAGTAATTAGTTGCAACTGGACTAGAAATGAGGGGTAGATCATCATAATTCATGATGTATTAAAGTTTCATCCATTATATACTTATGATGTAAAAGGTTTTGTCACAAACAATCTAGTGTATAATCGAGTACGTAGCTAAATCAGATACCTAACCTGGGAGAACTTAATTCAGTTCACTTAATACTTTACTGTCATATGACCCTTACATTAGCTCGGTATCCGCCATATTAAAAGAACTGCGTTTATATGTTAGTAAAGTATAACATACATGTATTATATGTTCATTTGTTGAGCCACTTTGCCAAATCATGATAACCGAGGGGTCGTCCAGCACGTCTTGTAATGTTTGGTAAGGTTGAGGGATGTGTCTCACGGCCAGGAGGGACATGAGGTTGCCGGCGTAGCTCCGTGTTAACACCAGTGTCGTCAACATCCACACCCCCAACAGTACCCGCTCCCACCACCAGTCATCGGGGAAGGAAATGTCTGGAACGATTCCATGAGAAAATTCCAGTGGACAAAATCCCACCGGACAAAATCCCAGCGGACAAAACCCAGCCTCTTATCCCAAAAGTGGACAAAAACCCAGTCTCATATAAGATTAATTAATAAGATTAGGTGTAAAGACCTTTTGCCTGTTATCATATTGTATCAATTTGACTTTAAATTTGTTTTTAAAGTTTTTTTTTTTTTAAATATGAGACTTTTATTTATAACACTGGGATTTTGTCCACTTTTGGGATAAGAGGCTGGGTTTTGTCCGCTGGGATTTTGTCCGCTGGGATTTTGTCCACTGGGATTTTGTCCACTGGGATTTTGTCCTGTAGCCGTCTGGAACAGTGTGTACGCTTGAAATTATCCCAGCACGAACATTCAACAGCTTATGAAATTCTACTCTATTCCACAATGGCACATATGTATATGTATATATGTGGGGTTTTCATGGTAATGTGCTTCGTGTCCATTCTAGGGCCCGATAGATTATGGATATAAAACAAATCTATCGAGTTTTACGTTATTTCCTTGTATTATAGATATCAAAGTAATACTTGAACCAGTATAATCTAATTACCTTGTTGAAGCAATACACGAAACATACTGAAGGCATCAGTTGCTGATTCATTAGGAGGATTTGATAGCAGAGAGCAGAACAACGAAAAAAGAAACATAACCACAGGCAACACCACCAGCGCTGTCAGGATGGCCACCCACACCAACGGTGCCAAGGGCAGTAGGAAACCCCAGGGGTCCGCCTCCACCCCACGTTTACCAGCCATTATCCTAGAGTAGGTCACAAACAACGGCCACGTAAAGTCCACCACCTCAGCACGGCTGGCGCTGATGCCGAAGGGACCAATTGCGAAGTCTGCTTCCTAGCACCCGTAAATTAAAAGCCTCATTAATATTTTATCTCGTAACATTTTAACATCAACACACACAACCCAGGTATATAATAAGCTTGGTAGACAACCTCTGTCAACACAAACACTGTAGAGTAGTTAAAAAATACCTATTCATATAAATATATGTTTAAAAGATAAAAATTCAAGATTCATTACAAATGCATCTGTACAGAGGGATAGTTGAAATATGTTAACTGTTTACTCTGAACAACATTTGTCTTTCCTAATGACTTCTAGCCCTTTTTTTTGTTCGGGTATTAGCCCACCCGGGCACAGGTCACTGACCCACATCAGGGCCTGGGGGGCGAAAATATAATAATAATAATAATAATAATAATAATAATAATATTAATAATGATAATAATAATAATAATAATAATAATAATAATACATTAATAATAATAAAACAATAATAATAATAATAATAATAATAATAATAATAATAATAATAATAATAATAATAATAATAATAATAATCATAATAATCATAATGATAATAATAATAATAATAATCATAATAATAATAATACATTAATGATAATAATAATAATAAAAATAATAATAATAATAATAATAATAATAATAATAATAATAATAATAATAATAATAATAATCATAATAATAATAATAATAATACATTAATGATAATAATAATAATAATAATAATAATAATAATAATAATAATAATAATAATAATAATAATAATTATAATAATAATAATCATAATAATAATAATAATTAATAAAAAAATAATAAATATTAATAATAATAAAAATAATAATATCCATAAATAATTCCAAAATGAAAACAAAACAAATCAAGAGTGATAAACGATATACAATATGTATGTTGTGTTGTTAATAGTAAGAGAAACAATTGAGACCCTGCAATTGTGTGCAAATGAGGCAGAAAGTCAGATCATCAACCTGGGACTTGGTCACATATAGCAGCAGAGTCTACCATTAGACAACACATTATGCTTCCAATATCTTCCCAGGCGGTAGTACCTCCCTGTTTGGTAGCTGCCTACTACCTACTACCTGTAATAGCTAACTGCTATTGTTATTATATCTTCAGTGTAATCTAAATAAAGGACCGTATATAGTGGAAAACTGCACTTTATTAGAATCCCGTTGAAAATTATGACATATTAAACGACATCTGAATATATCTGAAATATAATGTCATGCCCACAATGGAATGACTATTGGCAATAAATAAACGAATCGCATGCCAGTGTTATCAAGAGGTATGTCCTCCAGGTGTGGCTCCTAGCATTATGTCGGGTTATATCAGTCACGACTAATTATCATTGATTATAGACCTATTTTATTGTAGCTATGATTTATGATATTTAACCTTGGTAATGTATTTTAATTAATATATGAGTAATCCAAGATATAGGAAT